AACAACAACTTCACAGTACTCGTCATTAATCTATTTCTGCGATGCCGTTCTATCATGTTCGACGACGTACTTAAAATTAATTACTTCAGTGTGTTTGTCGCTAAACCAAAAAACGACCGTTCCGTCACGATTATGAAATAAATTTTGACAATTGTTTGAAACTTTCCTCGTTTATAAGGCGCATGGTGGTAGATGACTCAGAACAGTATGTATATTATTATTGACATAAAATATATCACTTGCGCAATTGAGAATAATACATCGATGTTCGACGTTACGGCTTTATGCTATCTTCAGGAACATCTCAATTGCGCAGGTGATATATTTTATGTCCGTAATAATATACATACTGATATTTGCATATGTTTGTGTATAGGATCACATGCGTGATGCGGGTGACATCTGCTATGCGGACGTATTCAAAGATGGTACTGGTGTTGTGGAATACACCAGATATGAGGATATGAAATACGCTATTCGCAAACTCGACGATACCAAGTTCAAATCGCATGAAGTTAGTTTTGATCGTAGTGTTTTCACTACTCGTTCTAGCGCAGCAGTAACCTCGGTGATGTTAATGAATAATTTAGGGGGATACGTCTTATATCAGAGTACGTGAGGCTTTAAGTCGTTCACGCTCGCGTTCTCATACGCCTCGTTCACGTTCTCCCAGGTCACGATCGCGATCGCCGTACTATCAGACAAGACGTGAATCACCGCAGTACTCACCAGCAAGATCAGCGTCACGATCGCGCTCTCGATCCAAATCCAAGTCGTTGTCAGCGCACTCTGATCGTTCTCGTTCTTAAGTGATATGCTACCAAATGATGTGATTTCATATCACCAAGCACAACATCAACTGCACATCAAGTGTACGCATATTTATTCTATCACATCTCATTTATTCATTCGATTACTTCATTATTCACTCTTCTGTTAAACACCCGTTTTAAGATTCATTATTTCGTTATTCATTTGTGTACCGGTTCATTCGTTGCTTCTGAAAGATCTTGTTGTCGTCTGAAATGGGTTATTTCATTTATCACATAACTCATTGCTATTCAATAATTGTTTTGTCATGATCCTCTTTTATCCGTTATCAATTGTTATTGTTATAATCACCATTGCTGCAGTTGTTGTTATCATCGTTACTGTTTGTTCGACTGATCTGATACCAGTTTATTTTTGATCGTTTTTTTGAATCAGTATTCCAAACTGATTGATTTGCTAAAACCCGTACGTTCAATGAGTTATATTTGGCCAAATTCGAGTGCAGTTTTCGAGCCCAAGCATAAGGCTCATCTTAAAAGTTGTTAAGCATCTGTGTCTGCGAGAGCACTTAATTGAATCTATGAGAGCAGTTAATCGTCCTCAAGTCATGATTTCACGTCATATATATATATAAATTGAAATAATCCGGTTTATTTTTGCTTCACCTGTCATTTCATTGTTAAGGTGTGCGCTTGGTTATTGTTTGCTTATTCTCACTGAACATTTGTTAATCTTATTTATTTTACCATTTATTTTATCCAACTGTTTTTTTATTCAATTCATTTAGTTGGTTAATCATTATTTAATCCCTTTTAAAAAATTTATTTAATAAACATTCAATAATAAGTGATGAATGTTTCAGTGATCGAACGCTTCAAAACAAAACAAATCAAAACAAAACGATTCGAATCGATTCGATCACTGCAGTCCTATCACTCACTGCCTATCCTAATAGCAATAACTACCGAGATTTCAATAACGATACGAAACGAAACAAACGCCGCATGCTCGCGAACAAGCAAACACACAAACTCAAATGCAATTCTCTCGCTAGCCATGCAATTCAAATCTGTCGGTCGAGAGTAATGATGTTCGAGAGTTGATCATCATATCGAAATCGATCGTTGCTTCATCATAAAATGACACTTTGCGTTCACAAAAACGTTTGTCCGAAGAGTTTCATCACTAGCCATTCTGATCGCTGGGTAACGGTGTGTGTTACCCAGCGATGTGTGGGTGGGTGGATGGATGAGTAGCTATGGATACAAAATGAAATTAATCGCGCTATTGTATTCAGCCATTCGTGGGTGATGTTTTATGCTGATACCAGAAATTGGTTGAGTAGGAAAATGACTGTAATGGTGTGGGTATGGCACTATGATTGTGATTGTTGAGGAGTTGAATGTGCATTAATTCTCTTTTAAAGTACACTTATGATATTTCAGTTGATGTGGTGTTCAGTCGAGTGACTGGAATTATTACAAGAAAGTATGCTATCGATATACGACAGTCAGTCAACCAAGCAGATGAACAAAGTTGTGGTGTTCCATTAAAGGTTTGCTTAAGAAGATGACAGAGAAGATGTTGATATTTCTCAATATTTATTATCAGCATATTGATATCACAATCAACGAGTGATCTTTTAATGATAAAACAATCAATAGAATCAGTTTAACAGTCAATTAAATAAAGTTAAGTCAAAATATACAACAGTGAAGAATCAGTAATGTTTTTATGAAGTAATAAAATTCAGTTCATATTCAAGAAATGTTTCATTTTATTTTTCGCGGCTGCTCTGGACTTCTTGGTTTTGTGTTTTTTGGCGTAACCGGGCGATGTGGTGTCGGGCTCGTCGAGGCAGATCGAAGAGAATACATAACAGTTCACCCCTTTTAAGGCACTCAAACAGAATTCATCAGCATGAGCTATATAACTGAATTGACCAACACCACAAATCACATTGTAATATTCATCAAGTTCATTTTCAGCCACCAACTGAATGGCACGTTTCGATCGCTCTGCATCGCCATCGATTATGTTCTAAAAAGTTTGTCATTCATTCATCTATTCATTTAATCTCAGCAATTTCGTTTCACTTCCGAATTTGTAGCAAAATAATGAAAAGTGTCAAGTTGTACCTTACAATTAGGGCGTTTTCGATTGGATGTATTTTATGCACGTTCGCAAAATGTGTGTGACAATGGGTATGCACAAAGAACAAATCATAATAATCGAAATAAGCGAATGCACTTACACTGATAATAATTTGTCTAAGTCGCATGCTATTACAACGTTTATCACTCCGAATAATCGGGCCGGTTAGACTGAAATCAATTCGTTCATCGCTACACGTCGACGATCCAAATGACGAAGAGCACGCATCTTGCTGAATTTCATTCGTTTAAATTATTTCGACTGAATCACTCACTCAAGGCCAAAAATGTGCCGTAGCCTTGAGTATCGATCCCAAATCCATGCAAATGAGCATATGGGTTGCATCCGCAAGTTAAAAAACACTAGGCAGTAACAACTCAGTCCAATTGATCTTTCGAATGAAGAGATGATTTGTTTGCCATTGTAATATAAGGTAAGTGATAA